TTCCATCCTAATTAATAACCGTGATGCTCAATCTTTCATCTGCTCTTCATACTATGTTGGACTTTCAATCGTAACCTTCAAGTTACAAAATAAATCCTTATTGTGGACTCATTCTTCTTCTTAGGATAATACATTCCTTTATCTATTGTAACAGACCGATGAGTCGTGTCCCGATGACCTCTCATCGTAGTCGGACTCCATTTGATATGACCACTAGGGTCGAAATAACCATCATCCTACTAGCCATTACCGAAACAAGGGTAATGACAAACTTGAATAAAACAGAATCAATTACTAGCTTCTTGGTAACCTTGTGACTTTCCCTGATCCAAGCGTGAGTCATGTGCTTCGAGTAGTATAGATCTCTACTACTATTCACACCTACTCATACTCGTCCCAAGTATTATCTCACAGTTAACCGAGTCACCATACAAAAATCACACAATCATTTAACACATCATATAACAAAACCAGGGTTTATATTATATCTTGAAATGATTACACAAAAGTTCAAGTTCACCCTATACTATGCCTCTAATAGGCTACATCATAAGTTACTATTTGCACTGCTACTTCATAACTTGATCCTTGGATATAAAATCCTCATCCTTGATTCGCTTCGTCGAGGATCATGTGGAATGCCCTTGGCTGTGGCGGTGCGTTTTTCTTTGCAGCTTCGTCCTTCTGCGGGCAGTTCTTCGAAATATGGCCACCATCTCCACATTCGTAACACTTCCTATTGTCGAACGTACAATCTCTGGAATAGTGACCGGTCCTACCACACTTATAGTAGGTCACTTCTCCATCGCATCTCTGAACGTACAATCTCTGTCGAAGCAACCGCCTGGTCTCTTCCATTTGATGATCCAACATCGCCTGCATCATTGTTTGTACACCAACCATCGACATTGGCTCAGGTGCTGCAGCTACAACAAGTATTTGCTCAATCACTGGTGGTTGATTCCTGTTCTCATTTGCGTTTCCAATTCCGTTTATAATTCTTTTCATTCTTGATCTATACACCGAATAAGGTGAATTTAGATCTCTATTTCGATAAACGTTCAAATCATCCTTATCACTCCGAAACGTTTACATGATAGTTCTAATATCATAGTCGTATGCTTAGAATCCTAACCACATAAGGTTTCCAAATCCGGTGGCAACAGACCATAGATCCTAACAAATAATATCATATATGGAAAACATATAACATTTAGCACATAAAAGCATTTTAGGCATCTTTCCTAAAATATACTAGTGCTCGTGTCTTAAAATATGGTAGCCACTCATCTCACAATCATCGCTTAGCATTCTAAATTTAAGACGTTCTTTTTATGCACGCTCTCGATTTAACGTATTATATGACTTTGATTTAGATCGCTAAGGCCAAATATCGCTCTAACGTAAATTCACTATTTACGTCACGTTGTGTCGTGCTGGTTCTGTCACGAAACTTCGACAGGTCATAACTTCTTCGTTATAACTCAGATTTCGACGTTCTTTATATGTACGGAATCCTTGTAACATATACTACAACTTAGTTAAGATTATTCCTTCAAAATAACCTTCCATAAAAAAGTCATTTTTGATGCTTATTTTCCTTAAATTGACTAGTTCTGATCTACGGGCGTTACAATGCATAATATCACAATTCACAGATAAGCACATAAAACATCTCATTCGCACAAAGATACCACACATGGTAAGTATAATGAGAAGACTCACCTTGAAAGCTTACTAGTAATAATATCGCACATAGAAATCTCGAACTAGCCTCCGCCTATCACATAGGATAAATATCTCTAATTAATACTCTATTCATTCTCAATACCACATGGTTTCCCTCTCTTTCTATTTCTAACTCTTGGATTGGGTAAAAGACCATTTTACCCCTCCATGGTCTCCATTACTCATGTATGGCCAAACCCTAAATTCAACAGAAGTTAAACTCGAGTCAACAGTTCATGTTTGACCCGACTCGCCGAGTGCATTTATGTGATTCGTCGAGTGCCCTGCTTTTTTCTGTCATATCGTGAAAATATACCTTGACTCATTGAGTTGTCTCGCCAACTCGCCGAGTCACCCATATCCATACCCATTGGGGAAAAACCCTAGCCGACTCGTCGAGTCAGCTCACAGACTCAGTGAGTCCCTTTAATCTGATTTCTCATTCAGACGATTCAAAGCAGCTCTCTAGATCTAGCATCCAAAGACTCCATTTTCCTGTAAAGCTTCAATCTTTACATCCTTGGATGGTATTTTTTCTCTAACATACCAAAACATGATCTCACAATGTGTTAAGCACAATATCCTTCTTATGGGTGAATAAAGTTGGGACCTTTGGACTCTAGGGACCCCATAAGGTCCAGATCTGAGGTCTAAACCTCAAGACAACTCTACAAGCTCAAAACCCCAAATAAAGGTGGCATAAACCCTATCCTTCCAAAATCAAGAGATCTAACCATAAGAATGATAAAGGTAAGAACTTTTCACCATTTACAGAAGCTCTTGGATGACAATCCACAGATCTAACAGCCTTCTTGTTCCTTGCTTGAATTCCATCTCTTCTCCTCTAAAGATGCACCAAAATACTCAATATAAGCTCAACATTCTCTCTCTTAGCTCAAAAGGCGACTAGGGTTTATCTCAGTGAAGTTAGGCAACTCATGAGCCGTAAATGAGGCTATAAAGTCCCTTATATAGGCCCCAAGTCCGGGGATTGAAGGTTTCACTACACAGTACCTACTCGTCGAGTTCGCTCATTAAATCCACGCAGTCATCTCGACTCTATTCGACGAGTTGGACTCACAACTCGTCGAGTCACTAAATCAACCCCAAAATAAACACACCATTAATATACCTAGGATTCCGGATGTTACAGTGCTAAACAAGTTAGGCCTTGACTGTATTCTCTAACAATACTTTATCACTCAGAATACTAAGAAGAATATTAAGATCTCGGGTGTAGGCTTTCCGACAATCAATCCAAATGATGTTCTTATCATCGTAGCTCATCTCAAAGATAAGTAAACATCTGAACTCGACATTAGAGCTTACACTATTGCTCTGAACTTCTTGAAATATTACATTGCTGAAGTTGGCCAATAAAATGGGGAGTTTTCTCCAATTTTCAGAACCTAGAAGCTCCTTGGTCCCATCAACACAACGTTGGAAGGAGTTGATCTATTGGATGAAGGTTCCATTGGAGATCTAGAGCTTGGATACGTCAGATATGTTTATAAGAAGAAGAATTCAAACAAAAGGAATTTTTCTGAGTTAGGAAAAAACACTTGGTTCACACCAATGTGCTTCAAAAATTCATTTCCAAATCTTCCAAAGCTCAAGCATCCGGAGAAGCAAAGAAAGAACTGATCGAGCAACTCACACGGTGGATTGAAGTCAGAAGTTGGCAGCAAAAGGCATACTTGTTCGCCTTTGGAGAGAAGATGTAGAAGCTCGATGATTGCTAAGGTTACTTAGTTGGAGATTTTTAGTTCATGATAAGTGATCCTTAGACAATCTGAGATAATCAAGTTTCCGAGATGGTTGTATGTCGGAAGTATCTACATACGGAATTAGTGAAGTTTCCGAGTTTGAAAAAAGACTGAATGGTCCAAAGACTTGTACTCTTTTTTTGTTAGTATTTTGTCTTGTTTACTGTAACATCTGTAAGAGACAAGGCCAACCACAACGTTGTACCAAGTGGTTGAAGTGCAGTTCAATTTTAGTACTATTGTCTCCTTTTGTGATTGGTTCTAAGTTAGTATAAATAGAACCATCACCCCATGTAATTCTTTAGCTTTTCACACTCTTTTGAATTATCAATCAAAGAATCACCCAATCAATCATATCATTCTCTTTGTTCTTGATCCTGTTTATACTCTTCAATATTATTAACTATCTTGAATACTTTGTTGCTTTATTTCCTTAAGACTTGACTTGTATTATCCAGACTTGACTGGAATAGATTATTTGCCTCAATTGGTGCCTTTATCTCAATGTTTAATTTATTTAAATTTTGTCCTAGATTTCTTTCGGATATCCCTTGTTCTCACAAGGATGTTAATGTCATCTTGATTATTTTCTTATATATTTCGGATTTCTAGACCTCAAAGGAAATTTACAATAATAGTCGGGTAGCCATCAAACCTCCTACCCGTATTCTCTTTGATCAAACTTGTTCATGTTTTCATGTGTTTCATACAAAAACATAGCCCTTATGCTAAAGTAGGGTTGAGCCTCCTGATTCGAGCTCCTACAAGAATACGTGGCATGACAGTAATTTTTTGCACCTTTCCTTAAGAATGCGGAGCTGTAAAGCCATTATAGCAAAAAACAGCCACCTCGTTAGGTGATATATCATTGGTTAGAACGCCTAAAATGATAATTTTACAGTTCCACAATATTTTTTATTTGCTTTAATCAGATCGTTACACATTACTAATATTAATCCCACGAATTTATTCTAAATCAGAAAAAGTATATCAAAGATATGGGTTTTATAAAAAGAGATGGATAAATCCACTTTTTCAAGGTTCCTAATTCACATGGAGTGGAGTGGAAGTCACCACTTCCCTTCTATTGTAGATCTCAATTCACCTTGGTATTTGATACCCTTCACTTTCTTTTCTTTTTCTTTATCATTTTCCCTTTTGAGAACATATTTTATTCTTCATAAAATTACATAACGTACAAGTATTATAACTAAATTTCAGATTATTAAGTTATTCTAAAAATTATATTTTTTCGTATATTAAGAACATTTGTTTGTAAATTCAATACGTTGGTATCTTATTCAGTATGTCCTATACAATATTTCTTATACATAGTCCACAGTTTTACCATATAAAAAGACATCAATTGGTTTAAATATATAGATGTCGGTTTCGAAACTTCTAATTATATAGATATATAAAGATTATGGGCCCTCCATTTTAAGCACAAACTATTATATATTGCAAGTAACGTAACTTTTTAATCTTTTCAATTTCCAATAGAGCCGTTACTTTTCCCCGCACCTTTCCCCTTTAAAACCACCAAAACACAAAAAAATCAAATCATCATCTCATAACAACATGGCTCCTAAAACATTTGCACATCTTTTCCTTCTACTTTCATCATTGCTTTCAGGTATATATACAACCTTCCTATATATGGCTTCGAAACTACATTTGCTTTCTTCCTAACAACATATCTTGACATTTGTTATCTTTTCCATTTGCGTTCTTGCAGTTGGGACATTGAGGATAGTTCATGGTGATGTATGTTAAACTATTTGCTTTTTAACTTGATGATATTTGCTTGTTTTATTTCAAAGAAAAAGACCGATATACCCTTGTTGATGATATGCAGAAAACATGGTGTGTCGCAAAGCCATCGTCCACCGATACCATGCTATTAAATAACATTCAGTATGCATGCTCACAAGTGGATTGCAAGATCTTGCAGAAGGGTGGTGCATGCTATTCGCCAGATAGCTTGATTAATCATGCATCCATAGCCATGAATATTTACTATCAGTGCAAAGGAAGAAACACATGGAATTGTAACTTTGGTAGCACTGGTTTAATTACTATCACTGATCCAAGTAAGTAATCATCTTTATTTGGAATCTTGAACTAACCCGTTAAAGATTTTAAGCAAGATATAAGGTTTTTATCAGAAATGTAAGCAACCCGTTAAAGATTTGTGCATAAAGTGGGTTTTCTATAGAAATCTAATCAACCCTTTAAGATGTTTAGGTTTTATAAATTAGAAATTTAATCGATCCATTAAAGATGTTTAGGTGTTATTTGAAATTTAATGGAGCCATTACACATGCACTTAAACTCAGTTTTTTTATTAGGAGTTCAACCAACCCACTAAAGATTTGAAGCTAAAGTTTAAATTTTTATTTAGACTTTTCAAATCAAACGTCAAAGATCAAGTTAAATTACCATCAAAGGTTTATGCACTCATTGATCATTTGAAGTTAATCAGCCTGTTAGTTTAAAATATGAAGCTAAATTTGAGTTTTTGTTATTAGATTATAGGGATAAAATCAAGAAACAATAATATATATTTTTTTATACTTGGATAATAACATCTTGATAATAAACGCTCTACTAATTTACAGGTTATGGAGGTTGCCAGTATATGTAATGATCGGCATGAAGAAGATGATGATTTTTAGCAATTATGACCATAGTTACCATTTGTTACTTAATTAGAGTTATTTGATGCAACATACTTAATTAGTCAAATTTGAGACAAAATGACGTGTTTAGATCAATATTTTCTTGTCAAGTTATAATTAATTAGTCAAATTTGTAATCCGATTGGAGAAGATTGTGATTGTGTTTGAAAAACGGAGAAATTCAAGAATGAAATCGAGTTGCCCCGAGGAGTAGACCAGATTCCCAAGTTCCGGCTGACTCGCATAATTGTTTTCTTTCTTGATTTTACTGTTATGTATTTGGATTATCTGAAATTGTTTTCAGTTGATAAAACTGATGCGTATCATTTTGAAGTTCTCAAATCTGTTCTTGAATTTAATTGGATGTTGACTTTGATGGGTACTTAATTTCTTTTCTACATATTAAACTCACTAGTTTGGATTTGTTTGGTTGTAATAATCTACTGGAGATTGATTTTGTTATATATAATAAGCAAAGTAATTTTATATTTGTTTTTTTTTTTTTCAAAATTAAACGACAAAGACGTGTTGTTAATTGTTGAGTGATTAAATTGCAACTATATTTGAGGTTGGTATTGATATTGTGATATTAACTATACTTTATTAGTTTTTTAGCGTTTGTGAAATTCCGTCTAAGCATGTGCATTGTGCAATGATATAGCAGAAAAAAATAATAATAAGTGAAGAAGAAAAAGGACAGAAGTAAAAGGGTAAATTGGTGAGAAATTATTAGAAAAGTTTTAATATTTTATAATAAACTCAAACTAAAATTTATTTACGAAAAAAAATGAATTACCGATAAACATAACGATTTGATTCATTTTTTCAGGTCTACCGGTTTCATTACTTACATGGTTCCATCAAAATCTTAATATTTTACCTTAATTTACGAACAAGTTCCAAACTAAAATTTAGTGATGATTTTGTCATTTTATCAATGTATCATACCTTGATGCTTAGTCATTAAATGAGCCAATAAGATGAATACGATGCGTTATATAATGTTATGTTTATCGCAAAATTTTGATATACATCTCATCAACTCATTTATGACTATGTATCCAGGTCAGCAATAAAACCGATAAAATATGTCTTTGTAGGAAAAAAGGATAGGAAATTCGATAATATCTGATGAGATGGATATACTTGGTTACATAAAATTAGATAGACAATTTGAAACTTCATATAAACTTAAAAAATGACGAATTTGTTGTTGGTTTATATAATTATTGCAATCTTTGTTTGATGCATTATATATATATATATATATATATATATATATATATATATATATATATATATATATATATATATATATATATAAGTAATACATTAAGATATCAAGTTTTGTGGTAAACATAACATTATATAATGCAACATATTCATCAAATGAGATCATTTAATGACTACACATCTAGCAATGAAACCGATAAAATGTATGTTACATGGAGAAAAGAGCAAAACCATCATTAAATTTTTGTTTGAGACATATTCTTAAATTAGGGAAAAATGATTGGACTTTTATGGAACTATGTATGTAAGTAATGAAACTGGTAAACCGGCAAAATGCGTCAAATCGTCATTTTTATTATTAATTCATGCTTTTTTGTAATTAAATTTTAGTTCGGGATTTTTTTTTCTTAAATCAGGGTAAAATTGTAACGTCCCAAAAATCAAAGTAAAAATTTTTTTAGTTTTCAAAACCAATCTAAGGACCATAATTGTTTACAAAACATTGTTTCTAATAGTAATAATCGAATCAGAGTATCCCATAAATGCAAAATCATAAGAATTTAGAGGATATGCACGATCATGTATATGCTTTCCCACGATTGTCTAAAGTACCTGAAACGATAAACTGAAACTGTAAATCAAAGATTAGTGAGTTTCCACAAAGAACCTGTAACACCCGCAGATTCGGGTTACTGAATTAAGATATAATAAGCATTAAAAATGATTTTTTTTATAGAAGATTATATATGATAAATAATCTTAACCAAAGTAATAGTTAGGGTCACCAATTGTAACACATTTGACGTAATAAAGAAGAATTATGTGATTATTATGTGTTTCGTGATTATTATAATATAATAAAATAAGAAAAATCAGCTGAATCGTCCGTAAATAGTAAAAATAAGTGTGCCAAAACATATATAAATCCCATCTTCCCATTCTCGAAAATATAAATTTCATAGAAATCCGACTCCGTATAAATTAGATATGATTTTTATAATATATAAAAGTCAGAAGCGCTTAAACGACCCAATTTTCAAAAGAAAATTTTCATTTTTCATTAACCAAAATACTTTCCACAAACCATGAAATCCCAAATACAATTGTTTTCAAAATTCATATCAAGTACAATTTCATTTCAAATCATCAGAGTGTCCCATAAAAGCACCTGAGAGAGAGTGGACGCCGCGCCATCAAGCCTTGTCATTGCCCTTGTGCTCAGATATACCTAAAACAAATCCACAAACTGTAAGCTAATGCTTAGTAAGTTCCCCAGAGTATACCACACACAATCATATTAGCTATAAAAGGTACATATATCACAACAGCCATGCATATAGACATATAAGGAGGTCGTGGGCTCGTCCCCAGGGTCTTACTCCAGGAGGTCATGGGCTCCCCACATGGTCTTACACCTAAGAGCCATGGGATCTCCCATGGTCTTTAATAGGAAATCCATGGGCTCTCCACATGGTCTTACATCCTGTTGCCATGGGCTCTCCACATGGTCTTTAGTAGGAAAGCCATGGGATCTCCACATGGTCTTACATCTAGGTTCCATGGTCTTCCATACAAGCATATAACTAGCATACAATCCTAGCACATAACCAACTATTATGTCTCATAGTATCAGTTCCACTAGAGTATAACATATCATAAATAGGCCGGCCTTGGTGCCTTCGACCCATTGGTATGGTGAGGAGACTCACCTCTCACATGTTGAACTGATAAGCTAAGATCAGATATTTCCTACACACTACTCCTCCTCAACTGCCTACAATCAACATGTGATTAACTTGTCATAATCCTAATATATACCCTCAAAGTCAACCCTCGTCCGTCCTGTTCAAATTCAAGGTCAACAGTCCATGTTGACCTCAACTCGCCGAGTGCATCTAGCAACTCGTTGAGTTCCTCCCGAGTTCATTACACTGACTCCTGAGCCAACTCACCGAGTTACCTTTGTGACTCGTCGAGGTCATTAAATAAGTTAATTAACTTCATTAAATTAAACAAACCCGATTACCCGTTCCCGTTATCCTCACATTACGTCCCTAAGCATCTATCATAAGGGACCTATCCTAAGGATTATCATCGGGACAGACACTACTGCTAAGGGGATTCCTCAGTAATAAATGTCCTTAAGGTAACCATGTGGGGGATGGAGTACATCTAGTGAGCACACAGTTCAAATAAACACACAGTTCGAATAAACACCTACAGGTTGCGAGCCTGCTAGTGTTCCACTGGACTGTCTAGAATAGTCCATGGTCGTCATCTATACTCTGCTAGATGACTGGATCCTCAATAACATCTATAACGAGGCCTCTCATTATTTTATTTTGTCACACAGCATCTATTACATCTATCCATGTTTTACCCAACACATTTTGTAGGTATAAAATACATATACAGTTTAAATCATTGAAAACATGTATAAAACGTTCATCCAGCATAGATAGCAAGTATTCAGATAATATGCACACATAGCATGTAATTCATATAAAATACTTCATATCTATGTGTAAGCTGAAAGTAACTATGCACTCACTTGAAAGGTGGTGACTCAGCACTCGGACACCGCTTCGATACTCTCAAAACAATTTTCCTTCGATAAAACCTAGTATCGATACCACTAGGGTTTAGTCTAACGATAACCGTGACAAATTAATTGTCTGACTATTATTATTATTATTATATAAGCGTTAATAACACTCAATATAACTCATAATAATAGCCCAAATAATTATTTTAAGGACCTAATAACATTCCTATAATTAATTGAAAGCTATATAAAAAATTGCGTAAGCGTAGCACACTTACAGCGAATTTTATCGAAGACTGGAACTTAATTGGAGCAACGTTTCGTAACCAAAAGACTCCTTTTTCTCGGGACTCCGAGAGCCTCGGGGCTTCCCAAGAGTGCTAGGGGCCTTCTCTAGTGTTTAGGAGGGTTTAGGGTACTTAGAGAGAGAAAGAAGCTAGAGAGAGTGTGGAATTTGGAGTGAAAAATGAAGCTGCCTGGGCCCCCCTTTTATAGGCTGCGAGGCCTCGGTACGCTGGGCGTACCTTGGACCTACACTGGGCGTAGTGCTCGCTCCGTACGACACCCGTCGCTTCGCTGGTGGTGCATCGTGGCCCCTCCTCGGACCAAGTAGAAAGGGTACGCGCATCTCTCCCTTCTCGCACGCGGGGCATACCTTAGACGTGGGGCGTTCCTCTCGCACGCGGGGCGTAGCGAGGCCAGGTGTCCGAATCCGAAGACTAGACCGTGGGCCGCAAGCGACGGCTGGGATCGTGCCACGTCATCTGTCTCGCACCAGGTCTCGCATTTTCGAGTCCTAACTTCAAAAATTTGTATCTTCCACATACGAGATCCGTTTTGACGTTCTTTATATCCACACGAAGGTGGGAACATACTCTACAACTTTCGTTTAGACTCCGTCGGCTTATTTTGACTCGATTTTAAATTTTATATTATTAACGGGCCGGGATATGATTAGTTCATTAAATCCTCATAACTTCTTCATCCGACATCCGTTTTCGCCCATCTTTTTCTCGTTACACTAGTTTTAACGAGATATTCGATTCTCATTTAGGTCATGTCGGCTAAAAACCGCTCGATCTAATATTCGAATTTCGGGCTGTACACTGTTAACTCGAAACTTCGAAAAATAATAACTTCTTCATACGAAGTTAGATTTGGTCGTTCTTTTTATCGATGTTTTTAGTTTAACATATTCTACGACTTTCGTTTAGATCACTATGGCTAAATCTCGCTCTATCGTAAATTCACTATTTACGCTTTCCGGTATCGTGTCGGTTCTGTCGCGAAACTTCGACGAGTCATAACTTATTCGTTATAACTCGGATTTTGGCATTCCTTATATCCCCGGAATCCTTGTTTCGATCACTACAACTTTATGTAAAAATATCGGGCTTATATTACACTTTAATTTTGACACTTATTTTTATTCTTTATTAATTATACATTTATAATTCAATAATAAGCACATAAACACACATAATTCATATAATACTCAAACATTTCATCTTTATTACTTAAAAAAGAGTTACAAGTGTTGACCTAGACTATTACGTTGACAAAAATGCTTAGCCCTGAAACCCGGGCATTACAATTATCTCCCCCTTAGGATGATTCCATCCCGAAATCATGCATCAGCAAATAGATGTGGATAGCGACTCATCATGTCAT